AATATTTACATATAAATATAATTATACATTTACGAACAATACAAACTCCTTTAATGTCTGAATTGCAATGGTTAAGAACCATATCAAACTCACTGTAAACAGAACAAACTATAATCAACATGTACATATACGACTTAAAGACCGAAATGTTTTTTTTTCTATCATTGTTCATATTACAGGGATTTCTAATGAATAATTCAAAATGTTTCTGATAACTATGACCGATGTTTTCTGATTGGATTAACTTTCTGTCAGTATGCTTTTCGTCAAAGGAAAACATTTCTTCGATTAGCCAGAGGACATGCTACAGTTAGATTTTGCCTTGCGAGGTTTTTATCTTTTTGTCAATCTCACATATCTATTCTGGACAAATGTATTACTTTTTCTGCCCTTATGGTTGTATAACAAAGAAGAGATTCTTTACACTTTATACATTGTATAATGCAAACCAACAAGCTTTTAAATATGTCAAAATGTATCAACATCATTAATTCAAATTACAATAATAGTACCGTTCCAATAGATGTCCATTTCCAATTTTTACATTGCTAAGATGATTAGATGTCATAAACACAATTTTATTTTTTTTCAAGTTTTTTGTTAAATAATAATGATTTAATCGTGTTGTGTATATTGTAAAATAGTGAAAATAAGAATCCCCAAAGAAAGCCCAACACGGCAAAAATGAAAATGCTGCAGGCTCGGTTTGATTGAGCCTGCTCATGGACGGTACTGTCAAGTGCAAACTACCGTCCACGCCCCCTAGCACCGGCTTAAGCAGAATTCAACATTTAACATAAACTGGTACAATTTTTGAATTTTGAAACATCCGCAGATGTGTTCATATGGCGGTTGTCATGAAACCTTCAATGTGACTTTCGTGCCATTCCATGAAAAGCGGCATATGGTGCCCAAGTAAAAAAAATGCGTGTGCCCTAAACGAGAAAACAATGAGCGGAACTAAATAAAATGGAATTTTGATAGGGGATCAAAGGTTATGAATATCAAAATCATTTATTGTAGAATACTATGTTATAGTTATAGCATAGAATTTCTGATTTTAAATTAGTGAAAACATTAACAAGACAAAAACAAATGTTTAAATATTCTATATCAAAACTGATATTGTGTGTTGGCTATTTTAATATTTATAAATGCATTGATTGATTTTGAAATATAACCGAGTTTCTTGTGTTTTGTCACTTTTTATGTTTTATTGAATAAAATGATGAAAGGAATTGTACAGTTGGTGAATGCAATGGGTATAAATTTATTAATGCCGATTAAGTTGTTATTACTTGCAGAGGTTATATTCTGAAAATAGAAACTATTTGAATACTATCTAACCTACAAGTTTCTATTAGAACTTGTGACTGGGGTGATATTTGAATACATATGCACTTTAACTATAGTTTGAAGAAATTGCACTTGTAAGGAAGTTTGATTCAACGACGACAAATACTATTATGATTGTTGTATATCATTTCATAAATAGTACACAACACTGGGGGCCTCAAAGAATTATAGGGATCGATCAGTCGCGTTTTTGTAAAATAGTCCTCGCAGTTATATGCCTCTAACTTTTGGCGGTCCGACCAAAAATAATGGGGCCCTCTCAGGCGGTCGCTATACATTTTTGTCGGACCGCTGACATCGTCGTGAATATTATACTATTTATAGGCTCGCCGACACTTAGTTGATTCTTGTTAATTTTTGTTCTTGTTTGAGTCTGAACAAATATAGAGAGAACATTGACAAAGGCTGTTACGTTATTTGTAGCCGGATATTGTTTATAAAAAACATTTCTCTGTGAAGGAACCATACTTCATACAATGGAATAATTATGATTAAGCTTGTTTTACCTTTTTATAAAAGATCCTAATGTTTTGAATTGTTTCACATGAAAAAGATACACCTTTACTGCTGATATTAAATTTCTTTTTATTTCTATATATTTTATGCTTTAGCTGTTTGAATTAACTGAAAATAGGACATACATAAAATGTAGTTATGCCATAAAATCACTTTTATTAAATCTTTGCTAATTAGATATAATTCTACAGCAGCACGCCCCCAGATTCATCCTAATTTTCATGAAACTTTTTGAAAATGTATTTTAAAAAAGTAAAATATTGTAAAGTGAACAAAAAAGTAATTGACACATTGCAATCTGTACTTATAATCCTGTACTTATAATTCGCGTAAATTACCACAAAGGGTCAAAATATGCAAAAAGGCCTCTACTGCGTTAGAAACGCAGTAAAACTATGGTGATAAAAACTGCAAAAACCAGTCATTAATTGCACATTAGATATAAATTATCACTCGAAACTTAAATCTGTTTACTTTTTTAAAAATCTTAGTATAGTTTTCCCAAGTTTAATTTACTTGAATTATTTTGGCTCATCTGGAAGCATACAGTTTAAAACTATTTTTTCTCTTGAGATACGTTACCGGATGTAACAATCAATACAGTGGACTTTATTTGAATTAACAGGACATCTCATTTCATGCTGTGCGAACTCAATCTGTTGCAACATCGTCTGCTAGCTTCAAATTAGCAAATATCTATCTCACATTTTCCATTCTCATACTGAAATATACAGGTTCGAAACAATGTGACCAAAGATTCGTTTTACCAAAGTCAGAAAGAATCAAAGTTCAATTGTTAAAACATGGTTTTAAATAAAAACAAAAATTGAAGATTCGGTTTTACAAAGATTGAAATGAGAAAGATTACATGTAAACTTGGGCGTGTAAATTGTACAATTATGCATCGATTCTGTTGAAGCAAATAAGATGAATCTTTTTTGAAAATAAGATGTCCGCAATCTGATGCCAGAAGACGACTTTAAGATTAACGAAAAATAATATATTTTCATTTTGTTATTCCATAACAAAAGCTCATTCCAAGAGAATTTATTCCGTTTTGAACTGCTGTTTATTCGCTTTTAGTCATTTTCAACTGATCAGCTTTATTTGTATGTGAATTTTTGTAGTTCGTACTTTGCAGTCTTATTGGTAGTTTTGTCAAATAAAATAATGAGCAATAAATTTTACACTTTTGAAACACTGATTAATTTGATCACCTATATCTTATACAATATAAATTGTATATTCAACACCAATATATTGTTGTTTTTTCCCCGTAAATTACATGACAGTCCGTCCTACTTGAACAACAATTTTACATTTTCACAATATTTATCAATCATAGCCCGCTTACATTGAATCCTAGGTAGGTTGAACGTCTTTATGTAGCTTCCCCCATCTTTTATTGCAATGCCAGTCTGGTTTATGATTTTATGATTATTAATAATTATGAAAACGAGACAATACCACTTTTCATACGTCTTTGGACAACACAAATAATAATTCTACCGTGTATACGAAAATAGAACAAAGTATATTAATAAAAATGCTTATGGTCGAAAGAATTGTATCATGCTGATCAGAATGCATAATTTCATTACAAAAACTGGCAGTTTATATAAGAACGAATCAAATCAACTGGAATGCAGATTCTCCAACAAGTTTTAAGCATTTACTTGTTCATTAAACATACTTATCCAATTAGGTTTTTCTTGATTACAACAAATTTCTGATATTAAAGTATTGTACTTAAAGATGAGCATTGAATATCTTTAAGGTACCATATATTACTATCTTAATGTAATTTGAAAGTGAACAAATACTGTATGTGATTTTATTCTGTACAAACTCTCATTTATTTGATATAATAATGTTTCATGTGTATTTGTTTTTAGAAATTTGATACTGAATTTCTCAGAATATATACATGTATATCACTAATCACCCCTTTGTTGTTGCTATTGTTGTTGTTGTTACATCTATGTACAACTTTTCACATACTCATTCGATTCATTTCAATTTTAACTAAAGTTATCCGAAGTTTTTTTTAAAGATATATCAGAGTCAGATACTTTTCGTTCGTTAGAATTATTTCTGTTCATGTTATATTGGTGTTAATTCCATGAACACGTAGGATGTCATTTCACAATGTATTTATTAACAAATATTTACAACTGACTCAAACAGACAACGAAGCATATAATATACAAATGGTCAAAGTTAAATCTCCTATGATTTGAAAAAGTCCCCCTCTGTATTCTATATTGAACTCACTGCACTAAGAATTGATAGAGATAGCAGCTCTTTTGTCAAATATTCATTGAAGAAGAACACTAAAAGTAATTATTTTATCAATTTATAAACTAATCTATTACTAAACTAATCATGTTACTAACTTCGTGTATACACATTTTGCTGTTAAAAATAAGTGAAATATTGATCGTCGATTATACAAAATATAACAGTTTTCAAATTGTTTTATTGAAAGAAGTCAGCACAGAAACTGTCATACGTGAATTTTAGTAACGAGCACCTGACATTTATATCATATATCTTATATATAAATCTCGATATAGACATATTGCAAAATTCGTTAGTGAAAAACAACAGAGTATTCATGGTAGCTCTTTATTTTTATAGATTATCCTCCTGTTTTCATGAAATTGTATTCACAAAATGTGTTCATTTTGTTATTGAATTAAATCCTGTGATATTCGTACATGTAGTGTATGCTGCACAATTTATAGTGCAGTTCTAAAACATCTCTAAAAAGACTTTTTGGAAGCTAATAGCCTGCTTAATGGCAGTTTTGTTCCAGTCAGAAAATATATTTATGGCTGGAGTATAATGCTTTTTTGTGAGTTTATTCAGTGCTCTTTACATAAAAACAAAATGTGAAAGCGAAAATAGAAATAAATGCATGAAATGACACCTTACATTTGTATCATAAAATTTATTATGTATATAAATTTTTAATTATTATATTTGTATAATAAAATTCATTATGTACATAAATTTTTAATTAACATGTCAAATACAAATTCATTGGTACACAACTTGTTTAATTCAAATTTAAGTCAGATAAACGTAAATTTTGTATTTTCATTCTTCCTACACAAATTGAAATATGGTCAAAAATTACTTATAAGTTCTCTCTGGTCCATTTTTGAGCATGTATTGTTGAAAATGCAAATAATGTTCTATACAGTACTAGTATATGTTAAGATACGTTACTTATTTTATTAAAAAGTATTCGAATAGTCATCACCATTTTCCAGAAACTTATTAATATCTTCCTTTGAGATCACTATTATCACAATATGCTATTCATTAGTTTATGTCACATGTTTATCGCATGTCTATAATGCATATCCGGTGATGATCTGTTTCCGTTTCGGCGCATGAAAAGCAAGAGCTGAACACACTAGAGTTATTCCTATTGCAGCAGACGTCATATAGAAACACCATGATAAGGAACAGTTGCCTAAAAAGAACAAAAGATACAGAATTTTTTTTAATTGCATGCCTTATTTAAAGGCCTAAAGGTCATTGACAGTTTATTTCAATGTTTTCAAAGCTTCCTTCAATAACTTTTAAATTCATTTGTTGGCCAATAATTAAATAAATATACTTTAACATATGCATGAATATTGTATAACCAACCGTCATGAGATTATGTCTGAACTTTGTATGCAACGATCGTGTGAATCGAAATTATCTATTATTTTTTCTGACTCCATTAAAATACAGAAAATTAATACATTGGTGTATCGCTGTGTATTACTTGCTTTGGGAAAATTTACATTCATTAATTTCTCAAACACTCTATATCTAGTATTCTTATCTGATAGTTATTTTCTGAATCAGAGTATAAAAATAAAACCCGAAGGTAATAATAAACCATTTACCAAGACTATAAGATTTTGACGTGTTGCCACAAGCTTGTTGAATCTCAGGATTGTCCCATCCGTTAGGATATATACCAACACCCGTAGCCATTAGTAGACCTGAAAAACATATAACACGTTATAGACAAAAACGTTATAATAATAAACTTAGACAAAAAATAATAAATTAGACAGGATTTGAATATCCTATTTTTTTACGTAGACTATACGGATTTAAAACCACACAAAATAATTAAAGATTGAACAGCGGTGAAAATATTTATCTACTACTACTGGTTGAAAATAAGATAAAGTTTCAGTGCTACTAAAACTGTCAATGATATTAATTAACAATATTAAAAGGAAAATATAGAAAACAATTAATGCAAACGACACAACTTTGTGTTTATTGCGCATATGCACTGCAGCTGGCGGTTTAAATAACGCACACAACTTAATAATGATTGTAACAAAAGGTGGAATTGCAGTAAAATACAAAATGGAGATCCAGGCTGTTACATTAAGTAAAAATCAATTTTCCGTTTTATGGTTACAGTCACTATAAATATGTAAATATCTGTAAAATCAACAATTGTAAAGAACCTAACTTTTGAAGATCTTTATTAAATTTCAATTGTAAATCAATTTTGAAATAAGGACAGTTTTGATGTTGTGTCACTCATTACCTAAAATAAAGCAATTGTTCATTTGTAGAAGTGTTACATGATGTAAGCAAAGAATTATTAAAGAAATTGTAAAATGATTTGAAAATTTCTTGACAAATCAAGAAATTAAGGAAATTGTCTTCGATTTTCGAACCAAACTTACAACTGAGAAATTGCATTATATCTTTTTTTAACATATTTTATGAGATATATATTGTCTACAATATACATTGTATTTATCAAAACGATGCTGACCAGTAAAAATGCCAACAAGACTATTTTATCTTTCAAAGCACACCTTGTTTAAAATCTTTAAATTATGTAAAATGTTTATTTCGTGATGTTTAATTACCTGAACATATTTGAAGAATTCCCGCTGACCGCGCTACCGTCGGAACTATAACACCATTAATACAAAGGCCACACATTGCCGTTAATGACACAAGAAGACATATACCACACGCAAACCCAATTACAAGAGTCGCTATTTTCCATGATGTGCTCGGAATGTCAGAGAAAGTCGTGTATTTTCCACATTCAAGTATCAAAGTAAGCTCTCCGTCTTTATTTATTGCTGGATAATTACAGCGTCGGAAAATACCAAAATGTACGGGGATAGTTTGCTCCGATTTTCCACTGAATTGAAAATACATTTGTCCAGATATCCAGTATGGTAAAAAGTATCCTACGCATATTAACACCGAGGATATAAAGGACAAAAATGCCCAAAACATTCCGATTCCTGATAATCCAGACATCCTTGCTAATTAATTCATGTATTTATATTAAAATTCTTACAATTATCAGTATCTAATTCAACAAGACTAACTGTTGTATCTACAAATCTTTTACTCCTAAAATGTGTACCATCAACAAATATTTTCACATATATTCAATGAATTAAACAATCCGCCCATATTGTGAGACAGCAGTGAATAAACTATTTAAGACATCTTTCACTACAGCAGTTGCTTCAAACTGTTTCAATTACTTTCCTTGATTCTAGTAGCTCTCTGGAACGCTATATCGACAACAGCAGAGTTTAAATTTCTTCCAATACTTACTATTGTCTATCCGCTTTCCTTTCCAATAAGATTTCATTATTGCAAATATATATTTTTCCTAAAGCTCTAACTCTTGTTATTTCATACATAATACATTGAATTGTTTGTTTTATGCGTTTAATAGATAATGAAACTTGTCTTTTTTTTAATTTACAAAACAGTATGAAAAAGACTGCTGTTTAATGTGTAGTGTTGATATAGAAAGTATTTTATAGATTCAATATACGTCAAGTTTAAATAGCTACAATTTAGGTCAACTTTAAATATCCAAATCAAACGGATTTTTATATTTTGTTCTTTTGTTTTTTATTTGACTATTATTTTCAAGGAAAAACGAGTGAAATGTTTAAGTTATTTAAATAACAATGAATCATCACAGGCTAAAATAAGACATCGAGCTGCGGCAGCTGTAAAATAGTTTATATCACGTATCATTTAAGCTTGTAATAGAGCGAGAAATATTTTTATTTTTGTGTCTACTCATGTATAAGGTACATTTTTCCTCAGAAATCAATAATTATCTTATCCTTTAGAAGTGTTAGATATGTCGTCTTAAAGCGTCTTAGTTGTTAAATAGCTGAAGAAAGTAGTGTTGAATATGTCGTAAATATAGCAAAATATAAACAAAGTAGTTGTTTTTGACTTTCATATAAAATACTAACACACTTTAATTCTACTAATTTCCAAAGAATAAATGAATCGATAAATAGTTCACCTATTTTGCTAATGAGTACTTTTTTTTGAAACTGTGATAAGATACCAAAAGAAAAGATTTTGAAAAGTGAATATAATAGCGCTCCGAGGGCGTAATCCGACAAGAGAATATTTATGAATGTTTATATTGTTTTTCGTACTGCCTATAAATTACAATAATTTTAGTTATTTTGAATCTTCGAAAAATTTTATACAATAGAAATAAATATTATCAATTATTTTTTAATTAAACAGTATAGACCTAATATTTATTAAGATTTTAACGACGTAATATCAAGCATTGCACTGAGTTATGTCATCAGGTAATTGCTTTTCATGCAAATACATTGAAAGTAACGCATATTGTATGTACATTTATCGTTTACATCAATGATGCAGTGGAAATAGATGTATAAAATTCCCCCAAACTGACAGAACTTACATGAAGACAGTTGATCTGACGCATCACGTAACGAACCAGTCCGAACACAGACCAGTTTTAATGTAAAATTTATATAACAATAAATTGGCTAGCAATCAGTCTATGCCATATATGGCTTTAGGCAGGGCAGCTTGATTACTGAAAGTACTGATTGACTTAGGTCAGAGGTGGCTAAGTATTTTTGCTCATAAGCATTTCACTGTATTAGATAAGTTATTGCCGATATGATTTAAGAATTTGTTACTAGTACAAAGTGTGAGAATTGAAATTTGTAGACTAGCGAAAAGTGAATGTAAAAAAACTGTGAGAGGAAATGACAATGTTTATAAAAGATGTTCCCATCAATATTCATTCATAAAATTTCTCATATTTTATTTATTTAATTCCACATTACACCATTATCAATATATCTTCTACAAAGTTGTAATTATAAAAGTTTGGTGTACCCTAGCATTAGATGGGAAAACTTACATTGTCTTGTGATGAAACGTTAGCTTGTATTACTTTGGAGAAGCACTGGTCCGAGCGATCAGATAAATTGCGAATATCTTTTAGATTTCCTGTTGTTAATTTACCTCGTCAATAGGTATATGTAAGTCGAGGGCTCGTACTCTACACGACACAGTTTATTTGTGTATGACATATGAATTGTATAATCGAGATTATGCATTGTCATTTGTGTTGTTATGAACATCAAAAACTCTATAAATACATATGTCCACATATGACACATATAATTCAGTCTCTAATGAACAACATTATCTATATCTTAACAAAAGAGGAAAGGGATTTTTGATGGAAAAACACTGTGCATATGAAATGTTTTTTGGACAGGTCATTGTGGAATATTCATAGTAAAACTCTAAATTTATCAGGATAGTTAAACATTTAGGTCAACAAGTCCTATTTTTATGGTAGTGAATAACAAATATTTGAAAAACAATTTATACCATTACTTTGATTTCGTATAACATTGCTTGTTGGTTTATATGCAGCTACTTTAAACTCATCTTTAGATTGGACAAAAAGGTGATGAATCGTAGATTGTAATAATACTGTTATTTATGTCGTATGTAATCATCTGTATGTTTTATTATTCTTTATCAAAAAGAATAGTTTACATCATATTCAAGATAACAACACTTTTCAACTTGTTGACGGTAGTGGAACTGTTCATAATATTAGTTTGTATATTATTACATACTTAAATAGCCCAGAATATTCAATATAGAAATTATAATGTTCTATTCGGAAATGTAAAAAAATTAATACCTTGTACCTCTCTCTATTCGCATCAATTTTCGCATTGCTTTGAAAAGCACGTAATATTTTATCAAGGCGATACAGAGAGATAATCACAATGAAAAAGTTAAGTTGCAACAATTTCTTTTCAAGTACAGTTTCAGTTTTCTAGTATAAGTCACCTTAATATGTTCCATTGGGAAAATCGAGAGGTTTCGTCTCTCCAAAGTTTTGAAAAATAGAGATATATAGCCTCTAAGCGGTGTGTTTCAACGTGAGCAAAAACGTCATTTTATAATGATTATTTTGTATAGTTGTAATAGCATCTATAGGGAACGTTTTGTCCATTCTTTCATAATTTAAGGCAAACTCGGTCCCAATAAACATATTAAGACATGATGATTGACATTTTTTTAAAGCGTATCTGATTGACTTATATTTGTAGCTATCATCAATTATAATCATATTGATACTAAACCCCACATGAATAAAGTAAAAATATAAAACCTACAAAATGCCCAAAAAAAAGCAAAAAATAAAATAAAATTATGAACTACCGTCTCCGCATCAATCCACTTACAACGGGCACGTATGCTATAGAACAAGACACAGTGCTTTTAATTTATAATTCAATGAACATGACTGTGACATTGACACAAAATCGTTTTAGTTCCCATTACTACCCTCTAAGATCCTACTTATACAATCCTAAATGCCACGGATGAAAAAGTACACATTGAGATAAACAGCTTCTGTTTAATTAGCATAAGTATGATACAAGCGCCAGTACCTGATGACACAAAATCTAAATCGTTCTTTCTAGAAATATGTACCGGTTGGTGCGCAAGAGTTAGAGAACATATTAATTAGAAAAGAGTGTTCTTGCTTTAAACTGTTATTCACGTTTTTGTTTTCATGTTTTTGTTAGCTACTATAAGTCTATAACATTTAAGTGAAATGTCTCAGTTAAACATAGCACGACCTACATATTTTCTCCTAATGTTGATATATCAGGGATTTGTAATGAATAATTCACAATGCATCAGATAACTAGAACCACTGTATCCGATTGGATTTACTTTCTGTCAGTATGTTTTTCGTCAAAGGAAAACATTTCTTCGATTAGCAAGAAGACATGCACCTGATAGCACAAGATAGATTTTGCTTTGCGAGCTTTTATTGACATAACTGCTTTATCTTGTAGTCAATCTCACATTTTTGTTCGGAAAAATGTATTACTTTGCTGCTTTCATGGTTGTAGATTTTTATATCCTGTAAAGACGAAATAATATATTAAACAATAGTTTCAGTGAAATATTATAATTACAATGAATACCATTTTATAACAACACTGTCAAAGCATAATAATAGTATTAAGGTTCAACTTACAAGTTACAAAACCATGTTAAAATCAAACCAAGACGTGAGAAGAAGGAAGGGTCGAATATATGCAACTATTTTGAGTTTGATACGCGGATTGAACAATTTCCCATGTCAAGTATATACAAATGTACACGTATGTACTTGAGGTATAATTAAGACAATTCACGACTATACCGCTTCCAAAATGAAAAAAACTTTGAAAATTAAAAATTTTGCGAACGTAAGCTATTATAAGACATGTTGTAAATTGTTATTTCATTTCAAATAATTAAAGTTGTATATTATTAAAGTGTTTTTCCTCCATGCTAAAATATTTGTAAATGAAAAAGTTTGCAATTTATAACAATTTATTACAAAAATTATTTATAACTAATTGTATAGACTCTTTCTAATATCATTAGATAATTTTACAGACGGTTTGAATAATGTCTTTAATAAAGTGACCAACTGTATAAATAATCATATTTAATTTAAACTGATACAAATTCAATACTACTGATGTATTAAATGCAGTTAATATATGCAATACAATCTGATTAACTACATTCAATGCAAAGTATAAAGAATTACACATGTTTATCTTACGTTGCATGAAAAAATGAATGTAATTACTGTAACTGTAGATATTACATCGGTAGGGAAAAATGAATTTCCGCCTTTATGTTTTAATCTTGCATTTGCATTTTTGCTGATGATAATCGTGTTGAGTATATTAAATAATTTATAGTCGACAGATATGTTTTCTCAAAAATAGAATAGTCATTAAGTGAAAACATTAAAATGGTGAAATAAATTTTCATCTCGTCTATTTCAATAATATATTGTTGGCAAATTTTATATTTATCATGTATTGATTTCGAAATAAGGCACGACCATTTTATTTGCTTTGTTTTATTTTGTCACTTTTAATTAAATAAAGTGATATTATTGTATGCATTGCTTTGACTGTTCAATCTGTATTATTATTAAATTCAACAAATAATTGTAAGGTATCTTATATCTTGCTTCATTGTATATCCTTTATTATCATAATACATGTCCAGTTTGCATCTAATCTTGATGAATGATGGGTATAAAGTAATTAACGCCGATTAAAATGATATTACTAGTCAGGGTTATATTGTTAAAATAGAAAATGTTTGAAAACAATTTATACCTAGTTATAATGCCACTGTAGTTAAAAAATGTATCTGTCAATACATTGAGTGCACGCAAGGAGTAAGATTATAATATTTGATGACATACTTTTCTCTTTGTGAACAAAATTTAACTCGTAGATGTCGTATTTAATATCTAAAAATAATGCACTTTTATTGATTACGCTTGTTTTTCACCAATGTGTATTTATACAAGGTCCTAATTTTTTGAATTGCTTTAAGATGAAAAGATATCCCTTTACTCCTTGATATTCAATCAGTTTTATTTCTATATATTTGATGTTCTAAACAATTAGTTTAGTTGTTTAAATTACATGGAATTAGGAAAAACCCATACTGCGCCTATACCATATTATCACTTTTATACAATTTTCACTAAATTGATATAATCTCAAAATATTTTTTTCTCTTGCAATATGTTACCGGATCTAATAATCAGCAATACAGGAGACTTTTTTCAAAATAATTAATTTGAACTAACAAGACATCTAATTTCATGCTGTGCGAACATTTGTTGCACACCTCGTCTGCTAACTTCAAATTGGTAAATCTCTATCTCATTTATTCCTTTTCTCGTAGGTAATAGAAATATATGGGCTCTGAACAATGTGATCAGAAATTCTGTTTAACCAAGGTCATTATGAAGCAAAGTTTAATTGTTATAACATGTTTCTAAGTAAAAGCAAAGATTGACGATAGGGTTTCACAAAAAATGAAATAAAAAATATTCTCTTTAAGCTATTGATGAACACGGGTGAACAATTTTAGAGAAAATGTGAATTTTCTTGTATTCTTGATTTCTACTATTCAACAAAAGCAATTCATTTTCCGTCATAACATAACTGTTGGCTTCCCAAATATTTAGACTGACAAAATCTAATCTATTTTTATTTTGTTATTCTATGAAAAGAAGCTAATTCTTCGGTACATATGCATTTCGACATACTAAATTTATTAAAATAGTTACGTACTGTTGGTTAGTGTTCGCTTTTATTCATCTTTAACTGATCAGCGTTACTTATGTGTGAACTTTCTAGTTCGTTAGTTATCTTACTTTGCATGGTTATATCAATACAATACTGGAAGTTTATATAAAAACAAACCGAATCAACTTGACCAGTAACAAGGAATGCAGATTCTCAAACATATTTTTAGCATTCTCTTATTAAAATTGAATATTTTCAGTAAGAATTCCCATATTATAACAAATTTCTGCAATTAAAGTATTTCCCTTAAAGATTAGCATTGAATACACATCTCTAATATTCAGTATAATGCTATCTCAATGTTATTTGAAAGTGAACAAATATGTGATAATTTTTTCTTTTAAATACATACATCATATATTTAATACTTCAATTTTATTGTGTATGTGCTTTAATGAATTTATTAATAAATTTGTCAGAATATATACATGTTTATCACTTATCATCACATTGTTGTTGCTTTTGTTACATCTATGTTTAAATTTTCACGTATTAATTCGATTATATCCAATTTTAGCTAAAGTTAAGTTTTCTTAAAAAATGTAACAGAGTCAAATGATTTTCTTTCGACAGAATTGAGTATGTTCCGCAACTTCCATGTATATTGGTGGAAATTCTACGCATAATTTGAATCAGGTATTATTTCATTTCACTAATATTTTTAGCATAAATATTTACACCTTGCCCAGCTTCAAAGTAGCACATTATATTATATATAAAAGATCAATGTTAAAAATCCTATGATTTTAAAAATGTCCCCTCTGTACCCTATATTGAACTAGGAAGAGTAGTGCATTTTTGTGAGATATTCAGTGATCTTATTACATAAAAAACGAAATTTAAAAGCGAAATAGAAAACAATCCATATGAATTCTTATAAATGTATCATATAATTTATCATTTACATATATTTGTCAGGTACAGATTTATCGGTACATATCATTTTTAAATTTGAATTTTAGGCAGATAATAACTTTCTGTTCCTTCTACACAACTTCAAAATTACTTTTAAAGTTGTTCTTTTCCATTTCATAGCACGTTTTATTGAAAATGCATATTTCTGTCTATATAGTACTTTACTTATCGAAAAGTATTCGAATAGTCAACAACATGTACCAAAACTTATTGATAAATTACGTTGAGATCACTATTATCACAAATGTTGTGCATTAGTTTATGTCACGTGTTTATTATGTGCACATGTCTATAATGCATATCCGGTAATGATCTGTTTCCGTTTCGGCGCGTAAAAAGCAAGAGCTGAACACACTAAAGTTATTCCAATAGCAGCAGACGTCAGGTAGAAACACCATGATAAAGAACAGTTGCCTAAAAGGAACAAAATAAATACAGTAAAAGGTATATTGCCGTTCACAAATTGCAATGCAATGATCGTGGGAATCGGAATTGTCTATCATTTTTCTGACACCAATATCATACTGAAATGTAAATAATGTAAATACATGCGTTTGTGTATTGCTTCAGAATTTTTACATTCGTTATATTTATCAAACACCTTATATCTCAGGATAATAAGCAATCGTAATTTTCAGAATAACACAGAAAGTAATAATAAACCATTTACCAAGACTATAGGACTTTGAGGTGTTGCCACAAGCTTGTTGTATCTCAGGACTGTCCCATCCGTTAGGATATATACCAACACCCGTAGCCATTAGTAGACCTGTAAACATATAAAACGTAACACATATAAACGTTGTGAAATTAAAATAAAAAAATGACCAGATTTGAAATTACTATTTTAGTTTACGTAGAATATTTGGATTTATTTTTTTATTAAAAATAAATAAAAAAAAATAATTTAATTAATTAACAGACAAATAAATTAATAAATCATATAAAACTGAATAGCTGGAAAACGTTTATCTACTAATACTGGTTAAAAATAAAATAATTCAGTGCTACTAAAACAGTCGGTGACATAACCCATTTCGTATAAGAAGTCTACAATTTGAAAATAAAAAAGTAAAAATGTTACAAAAACTGAATAAACGCAAACGACCCTGACTTTTATATATAAATAAGAACAAATCAGTGTAAATCAATGTAAAGCAAGATATTCTTACTGTGTTAACAGAACACAAAGTGCATTTGCTCTTTCTTTGAGCTTACGCTCATTTCACTGTGTTTTATTGCGCATATATACTGTAGCTGGCGTTTTGATTCTAATTTATGCATAGAGACGCACACAAATTAATAATGCTTGTAACAGACGGTTTGCTTGGATTGAAATCCAAGCTGTTACAGTTAGTAAAAAAATCAATTTGCCATTGATGACTACAATCACATGAAATTTATATGCAAAATTAACATTAGTAAAGAACATAACTTTCGAAGATATGTAAAATTTTAATTGTAAGTGAATTTTGAAATAAGGACAGTCTTGATAAGTGGTTTCACACATCCTTTCGAGTTGTTTTTTTTTAAACTTTTACTCCAATTTATAAATGCATATAAATGCATACATGTTTTAACATTATCTGAAGTAATTTATTACAGAATACTGATTTCCTTTAAAGGGAGGGTCACTATAATATGGGAATGGGAAAATGTAAATAAAGTGTTACTAAAATGTAAAAAAAAAACCATGAAAATCTCCGATTTTCAAACAAACGCATATTTTTTATGAAAACTTGCTTAATATTTATAGACATATTGAATGAGATTTGTTTAACAATATATCTATCATAACGCTGCTGACCAACATGAACGCTAACATGACAAAGCACACATTGTTTAAAATATTTTAATTTTGTAAAATGTTTATTTCTTGATACATAAATACCTGAACATGATTGAAGAATTCCCGCCGACCGTGCTACCGTCGGAACTATTATACCATTAATACAAAGGCCACATATTGCCGTTAATGACACAAGAAAACATATACCACATGCAAACCCAATTACAAGAGTCGCTATTTTCCATGATATACTTGGAATGTCCGAGAAAGTGGTATATTTCCCACATTCAAGTATCATAGTAAGCTCTCCATCTTTACTTAATGCTGGATAATTACAGCGTCGGAAAATACCAAAATGTACGGGAATAGTTTGTTCCGACTTTCCACTGAATTGAAAATACATTTGTCCAGATATCCAGTATGGCAAAAAGTATCCAACGCATATTAACACTGAGGATATAAAAGACGAAAATGCCCAAAACATTCCGACTCCTGATAATCCAGACATCTTTGCTTTTAATTCATGTATTTTTTTTATTAAAATTCAATTTTAATTAAACAATTAGCAATATACAATTCAAATAATAACTGTTTTATCTACAAATCTTTTACTCCTGAAAATGTGTATCAACAAATATTTCCACATAATTATATTCAATGAATTAAATGATCCGCCCATATGGTTAAACTATTTAAGACATCTTTCACTACAGCAGTTGTTTCAAACTGTTTCAATTATTACCAAGTATTCTACATTTTTCCTAGCTCTCCGGAACGCTAATCGACAACTGCAGTGTTTAAAATTCTTCAAATACTTACATTATCCGCTTTTCGTCCCAATAAGACTGTATTTCCGCGAATTTATAATTTTCCTTACGGGTTTTTTTTCTTGTTTGTTTTTCCATACGTTAACACTAAAATGTTAATTAATTGTTTGTTTTACGCATTTAATGGATAGTAAAAATCGTTTGTTTTTTTACAATATTGAATAATTTGCAAAACAGTATTAAACAGACTGTTTTTTAATATGCATTTTAAATATATGTGTAGATAAAAAATATTTTTCAGAATAAAAAAAGTTTTGTATCAAGTTTTTATATCCAAATCCAACGAAGTTTTAAATATTTTTATTTGAATGTAAAAATTCAGAAAATAAAAGAGAAAATGTTTAGCTGTGTCATCACTGGCTAAAGAAAGGCATCGAGTAGAGGCAGCTGTAAAATATTTATGTCACGTATCATTTAAGCATGTAATAGATTGAGAAATATTTTTATTTTTGTGTCTACTCATGTATCGACATGTACTATTTAGCTATGCCCATATTATGTATTTTGAATGTTGACTCAATTTGAAATTTTTTATAAATATAAAATACATTACATACATTTTTATTGTTTATTATCATATTCAAGTTCATTTTGACATGAAAGGACTCTAAAAGCCCTATGTTTTATATTCGTATGAGTCATTTTTATGAGTAGGAAAGGCCTTTATAAATTTGTTTCATTTTTGTAAGTCATACAATTAAAATGACGAAAGCTTAAGTGTAGAAGAAAAGGTATTTTGACAAAAGGGCGTAATACAGATATTTAAAATACTTCATGCTCACAAATCTTTATGTCCTTTAAAGCAGCACGCCTCCAGATTCATGCTAATTTTCATGAAAATTTTGAAAATGTATTTGAATGTGTAAAATTGTGAAGTAACCAAAGGAAGCAATTTACACATTACCAATGGCACATACACTCCACGTAAATTACCAAAAGTGGTCAAAATATGCATAAAACCCTTTACTAAGAAATATACAGTCAGGTGCAAAAAGTATTGGTGATTTTGGCGGCCATATTGGATTTATCTGAATCAATCAATCATAGATTTCCTTCATATAAACTAGTTACTAGTTTGCTCAAACTGCAAAAACTAATTGTTTTCTTACCTTAATACTCAGTCAAGTGACTTTTCAGTCTGAAAACTGACAATAACCTTCTGAGTAAAGACAAAAACAGGCTCTGAACATAACTTGTAGGAATGTCCATTTATATCCTTGAATTTCACTAAAAAGTTTGTCATTGCTGTTGATTACATGATGTCTGTATTGAATTTTCATTTGATGTATAACCTTGTATTTTTAATAATATTAATGTCAGGTGATTGTGCAGGCAAAGAAATGGACTTTAAAATGCTGTCAGCTATATAAAATTATTATTGAAGTAAGCGAGATCTCTGTACTGGGGCATTATCATCTTGAAATAAATAATTATTTTCAAGAAAATGTCTTACAATAACAGGCCAAATGTTATCCTGAAGAATGCTTTTGTACTTTTCAGAGCTAATAATAACTGTCACTTTTCTTAAAGTCCCCACTCCATGCCAGCAAATATACCCCCCTATCATCACCTGAAACTTCCTTTTGCTGTTAAGTTTTGGCCTGCCACTTCTTGGTTTGTTTTAAGTAGAACCACTGCACAAAATCTTTTAACAATATTTGACACAGTCATGCAAGGTAAATTTAACATTTTAGTAATGTTACACACTTTATGTTCATTCTTATATAAATCCACAATGACTGTTCTTACATCCTGTGAGATTTCACTTCCCTTCCTACCCATTTTAGAAAACACAGAAAAGAACATAAACACTCAAAAATTTCCAAAGGTAAACAATAGTATTCTAGAACTATGATGTCATCAAATTTCTATGACGTCATATTTGGCCTTGAGAATGATGTAATTAGTAAAGAGAGACTAGCAAAAGTAACCTATTTCCTAAGCATGCATCAGTTACTTCCCTTTTCACCAATACTTTTTGCACCTGACTGTAGTTGTTTATACTGAAAAATCAGTCGTTAATTGCACATAATATTTAAAATATTACTTTAATCTGGAACTTTTTTAATTTTCCTTACATCTTAGTACATTTTTCTCAAGTTTGATTTTATTGAAATATTTTGACTCATCTGGAGGCATGTAGCATTTCGATATGAATTAAATATTCATTCTTTCTTAGAGCTTGTTTATTTATTTTTTTTTTTTTGTAAGAATATTTGATATCCTCTCGTTGTCCAACTTTTTAAACTTTATCCATGCTTTTATAAGCGTCTATAATTAACCAATAAACCATTGCTTAAAATGGGACATGTCTGTAAGAATGTTTTAGTGAAAAGAGATCATTATTTTAAATTTGTAGTTACAATTTTTGATAAAAGTAAGTTTTTAGTATATTAAAGGCATATGTTTAAAAAAAAAATAGAATATAATTATGTAAATATAAAAAAATATCATCAAAACAAGCTAGGGGACTACATGATTCGAAGTCTCAATAAATTTAATATTTTAGTCACGGCTTATTCACCAGTAAGATGGTTGTACATTTTGTAATTAATAGTTAAAAATGTGAACAAATATACAATTTAATACCAAAAATTAATTACATGTATCATCAATAATATTTGATTTAGATTGTATATATTTGAAATTTGATGAAGGTTTTGTATGACGTAATATTCACTATTATAAATGTGTTATGTAATCAGTTAATTAATTTCTATGCAAACGCATTTGAACTAACGCATAAAGTATGAAATATTAACGTTTACATCAATGATGCAGTGAACACAGATGTATAACATTTCCATAAACTGACAGAACTTACATGAAGACGTTGTTCCGATGTGGCACTTAACGAACCAGTCCTTACATAGACCAATTTTAATATAGAATCAATATAAAAATAAATTGACTAGCAATCAGTTCATGCTTTCCATATATAACCTTAAAGTTTTTTTTGGTACTGGTGAATTATTCTGGTATTCGCATATTTAAACATTTAGGCCAATAAGTCTAGTCAAGATGTTTAATCTTTTCAAAATAAATAGATAAATTATCTATGCGGTTCCTTTTTAAACGTATGAGAAAAATGACATTTTATAATGATAAGTTTGTACAGTTGTTATATCATTTATAAGTAATGTTTTAATTTAATCATGTGTCCATTCTTCCATGATTTAAAACGTACTCGGTCGCCATTAGCGCAATAAGCCAGAATAATTGCGTATATGTGTGATTTAAAACATAAGTGAACAAACTGTGTACGAGTGCGAGGAAATATGTGATGCAATATGCTCAAGAGCAAAAATCTATTTCAACGCTTCGGTGTAATCTCCTCTTACATGAATACAAGTTTTCAGACATTTATGTTTCTCATAGTCTTCTTTAGGTATACCTTTCAATAACTGAAAAATGGTCCACAACCAATCACAATATTAAACAAGAAAAGCATTGATGCAAAGCATCAAAGGCGACGATCGAGTATTGCACCTAAATACTTAACAAAAGATGTGTACTTTATAGCAGTACCATTACATGTGACCTGGAGGCTAGGCCCTGTTTAAGTTGAAACTTAAACCAAAAAGAATAGACTCTGTCTTGCCAAGATGCAAAGACAATTTATAGTCAATTAACTCATCATATCTGCGGATGTTTCTAAATTCAAAATTTCACCACTTTCGTGTTTAAATGTTGAATTCTGCTTAAGCCGGTGCTAGGGGGCGTGGACGGTAACTTGCACTTTCCAGTACCGTCAATAAACAGGCTCAATCAAACCGAGCCTGCAACATTTTCAATTTTGCCGTGTTTGACTTTCTTTAGGGATTCTGTATTTCTCTATTTTATGGTCACATCAGTGTTATTTGTGCCGTGTGGCGGCCGTGGAAAGTCTCCCCGTACATTTAATCAAAGATGTTATATTTTCGATCCTTGAAGATCGTTAAACACGACATAATTGTTGTGTATACATGTTATGTGGTATTTTTAGTTTCTTCAATTTGCCTTTTTCGATTTGGGTGGTTCCAGTATTCCTACTTGAATACTGTCTAATCACCCTAAGGATATGTTGCCTGCTTTTAAAATTGTCTTTTGACGTCTTATCTGTAATATGCAGGCTTCATAACCTCAGATCCCCTTTCAAAATTCCATTTTCTTTAGTTCCGCCCATTGTTTTCTCGTTTAGGGCACACGCATTTTTTAATTAGGGACCATACGCCGCTCTTCATTGAAAGGCACTACTGTGTCACATTGAAGGTTCCATGATTACCGCCGTATGAACACATCTGCGGATGTTTCTAAATTCAAAATTTCACCACTTTCGTTCTCTGCTTAAGCCGGTGCTAGGGGGCGTGGACGGTAACTTGCACTTTCCAGTACCGTACATGAACATGTTCAATCAAACCGAGCCTGCAACATTTTCAATTTTGCCGTGTTTGACTTTCTTTAGGGATTGGGATTCTGCCATACGAGAGAATTTCTTCAGATTATTTTACCAGACACAAGGATACCTGAGTCAACAGCATATAATAAAACTCATTATAATATCATATATATTGCTTAGGGTTGCAGACATGTCATTGACATATATTAGACATAAAAGAGGACCTAAAATGAACCTCAGGGGACCCCATAGGTACTCGGTGCAGTAGAAGAATGAGTAACAGCCACATCCACCAGCTGTTGTCTATCATAGATAATACTTGAACCATGTAAGAATGTCATTACCTATGGCAGATGCTTGAAGTTTCATGAAGAAGAAGAACTTCTTCATAATTATGCAGTATGGTGTGCTCAACTGTATCAAATGCCTTTTTGTAGATCTAAAAGTATCATGCAATACTGCCTTTGTCCATTTCAA